TATTATCTTATTTTTGGATCTTAGTATCACCTGAATAGCTTCACTTTACCAATTGAACATTATGCCGTATCTCATTTTATATTATCGCGACAGACTTTAGTCGTTGCGCTCCTGTAGCTGAACTGTTTAAAAAATCTCAACCATTAACTACTGCATTTGAAAATAAGGTCTTTACATTACACTTCATGAGCTTTTATAACATGATAGCTCTAGTGGATTTTTCTCCCACCACAACAATAAGGAAAACAAAATATGTTGTCTAAATGAATTAAAGGGTAATAAACACTCACCTGGTTGATCACCCTTGCTCTTATGACTCCTGTGACCAAAACGGCAGAGTCAGTTTCTAAATTCAAGTTTTGTTTGGTCAGTAACCTTTCAAGGCGCTGACCCTTTTATTTTCTTATTTTAGAATAAAATTAAGCATCTGGACCCAGTTTAGGGGACCAAAAATTCCTGACATGAGAATTTCATTGTTCTTTTTTCCATTAAAATGCTAATTTAAATTAAATTAAAAAGGTTGTTTTCAGTTTTATTTTATATGGTGGCACATGGTAGTGGCAGCATCATGGTGTGCAATTGCTTTACTTCGGCAAGAAAGCTGCAAAGCTGTAATGTTATGTTTCAGACCAAATTCCTTCCATGTGTAGTTGTTGCCTAAAGTATTTCATCTTTTAATCCATCTAGCTTGAATTTGTTTGGGCTGTTTTGTAAACCCGTGGCAAACAATTTCAAGTAATGTATTCAAGCTATTAGAGGCCATGTCTGTTTTCCCATTTTTTCTTCCTATCCTATGAAGTGCTTGCTGCATTCAGGCATTGGCCCATGTGGAAACTTAAGGGAAGCAGGCTGCTGCATGGGCAAATCTTGCATCCACCAGACCCCTGCAGAGAGAGGCAAGGACATATGCATGAAGCTAGTTTTAGCATTTTTAGAGCCTCCTTTTGATAAATATGTATCTCTTTGATGTGGTTTCATTTTAATGTCTTGTTGATTTATGAGTCTTTTTAATAAACTGCTGGGTTTCAGGGGCCATGTAAACAGAAGCCCCAGAAATGTGATCCTGTTGGCTATTTCACTCATCTCTTCAGGCACCTGAGGCTACACATTCCCTCAAAAAAAGAGCTGATTTTAATCATCTCTTATCAAAACCTACAAATTTATTTTTTATTTTATTTAACCTTTATTTAACCAGGAAAAAAAAATCCTATTGAGATAAAAAAAAACTATTTTTTAAGGGAGTCCATGGCCAAGAGGCAGCAAAGTTACATAAGAAACATAGATCAAAATAATTTAAGTACCTTTATTATTTACAAATAATAAAGGTACATAAAAAAAAAACATGTCAACTAAAACAACTACAGATATTTGAGGTTGCTTCTAATTCTTTAACTTACAACTTAAAAACATTTTAAGATAAAAACTCAGTCAACTTCCAGTTTCTCTGTAAAATATTCAAGGTAAAAATTTCCAATAAATATAGCTGATGCTCAGGGAGTATATCATTCCCTTTAAAAATCTTGATGCCCCATTAACTATTATAATTTTTGGGACAGACCTTCACAACAACACTACAGGCCAGGCCAGGTAGCATTAACCCGTGGTCACTGGGGATGAGCTGCAGAGATCCAGGGCTCAGGTGTGAGAATCTGTCAGCCACAAACCTGGCGTTTAAGGGAAGGTGGCAAGAGGAAAGGAAGAAAGTCATTTCAAGGCCACAATGTAGGGAACGCAGCAGATAAAAGATAAAAGTATGTGTTGAAGAAAACCGATACAGGCACATAACCATCTTCATTTTGAAATATGGTGGTGGTTGCATCATACTGTGTTTTTCTTTTTCTTTTTTGCCTTGACAATAGGTGTGTTTCCATCAGCTTTTTCTAATACTCATTTTGAAGTATTGCATTAGAAAAGCTTGATGGAAACAGCAAAATTTGAGAAAAAACTCCCTTAAGATTGCAAAAAAAATTTTTTACACTCAATTGAGGTTTTTTCTGGTTCTTGCGAGCTGATAAGGGGATGGAAACACCTTTTTTCAAATCAGTTCTGACGTAGCAAACTTTTACTCACATGACCGATCAGCTGTTTCTAAGGTTAGCGTCTTCCTGAATGTTCCTATTATGCGCATAGAAATGACTGGAAGCAGCATCGCCATTACTAACCGACATGTTAACATGAGGACAACTTGCCCAGGTACAACATATTCATTAAAGATTTTTCTCATTATTGATCTTTGCTCCATAGATTTACAGCCTGTACTTCCTGTGAACTTTAACCATGTCTGATGCCTAATAGAATAATAATAGAACTTTATTGGTCTCACATTGGAAAAATTTACCTCTGCATTTAACCCATCCCCTTGGGGAGCAGTGGGCTGCCATTGTGGGGCGCCTGGGGAGCAATCAGGGGGTTAAGGGTCTTGCTCAGAGACTCAGGGGGTTGCTCAGGGTGGCAGTCTGTGGGAGTGGGGCTGGAAGTCAGAACCTCAGGATTCCAAGCTATATGCCATGACCATTAGACTACCACTCCTATGGACAAAGATGTTGAACAGCAACATGCTTTACGGTGTAATTCGCTTCCAATCAAATGGAATTGCAAATTTGCATTTCTTTTATTCTGCAACTTTTAAAGGTTTTGTTAAAATTCGAATTTCATTTGAATGGAAACACAACTAGAGAAAGGGAAGCAGGTCAGAGATTATTGGAAGATATCTCTGAGCTAAAGTGCAATCATAAACCTAAACTATCATGCAGAGAAAAATGGGTAAAAAGTCAGTCTGCATGTGCCAGGCTGGTAGAGAGCATGAAACAAAATCCAGGGTAATAGTTCATGATTTAAAACTAATATATTAATAGCCCCGAACCTATGTCATTTAGTTTAATTCAATTTATACTGTTCCACTTAAAAAATATATTTGTATTTTTAAAATGTTCGTTTTATTTACCTAAAACTTAAAATCTTCCTTACCATGTGAAAGAAGCAACAGAATTAATTAGTTGCTAAATAAATATCTAGTAAAAAATATATTATTTGAAATATAAGGGTCAATGTATATTCATAATAAAACATTTTTTACTTCTTTTTTACTTTCAAATCAGCATGGCATGTTTTAATCAAATCATAATTAGATTAAAACTGAGAAATTCAGCTGTTATTATTTACATCTGGTTAAAAATCTAATTTATATAAAACTGTGATCCTATAGCAATAACTGAAGCAGCCAATTTAGACTTAAAAAACTTTTATGGTTGTTTCGTATACACAGTGTATTCCTTTTGTACAGCTTTCAGGCGGTAAATGATGAGCAGCTCAACAGTGAAATTAACATTTCCATTTCATAAACTGCAGCAGTGACCAAATGTAAACAGTGTGGGAGAAAAAACATGGTGCAAAATACGTATATTTAAAGTATTTATTGTAATTTTAATGTATAAATCATAATTAAAACAGAATTCTAAAGAAAAGGGTGTTCTGTGACAGCACATATAATCATTAGAATATCTTATATTATATCTTCATTACATGAACCATAACAAGAGTCAGGGCCAGTTCTACAGGGGCACTGGCCCCTTTTAGCCCCAGTCTAGAACCACACATGGCAGAGTGACACATATCATTCAAGGTGCAGCTGTAAGATGCTCCTATGTTTATAGAGATAAAAAAAAAAAAAAGAATTGAAAAAAGAATTAAAAAAAACATGTATCAATTTTCTTTCTAGATGATCTTAACAATATTCAATCGGAGGATGTCCTGATTTATTATTCAATAGAATTTGCATGTAATCAAATGGCCTCTTACAGTTTTTATCGCCTTCATTTGCAACCGTATTCTCCTAGTACAGGGGTCTTCAATGTTTTCCAGGCCAAGAACCCCCAAACTGATGGTGAGATGGAGCGGGGACGCCCTAATTATATATATTGTATGAAATTGTTTTATATCAAACTGGTCCTATAGTCACTCTATTATGGATGGAGTAATGTAACAAAAGTAATTTCACCCTGGGATTATTAAAGTATTTCTTAATCTGATTCTTGGATGATGGGACAGGTGTTGTGAATGAAACGGTGCCCAGCTTGAAAGACCTCTTGTGTGTCACTGAATGTGTGCATTGATGACTGAAAGACATTTCCTGCCTCAATTTATTTGTTATCGTCAGTGTGTTAAATTCATGTTAATGTGGATTTAAAGACCTTTTAATTAGTGGAAAAAAATGCAGTGGGGCTGTAGTGACTATTTGTACATAACTAAAATAAAAAAACGTAAGACTTAAAGGTGACCCAAATAGCCACCTGATGCACCATGGATTCCGGCTTACGCAGTTCAAAAAGACCAAACAGGGTCAAAATCCAGTTCTTTGCATGCTTTATTCTCCGTACAGACAAACAAGTTACAGGCTTCACAGGATTCTTCTATTGCTCTCACTCTGATTCCTGCACATATTCTTTGAATGACTGACTGATTGATTAACTGGCTGATAACTGAGTACTGGCAAAAAAATAAAAAATAAAACATATGACCACCCACGTGCATAATGTAAAACACCATATCCCAAACCAAAATTAATTAACTTATTAAGTGAATCGCTAAACAAATCCTATTCTAAATAACAAATCAAAATAAATAATCCAAAGTCTAAGATTTAACTAAAAATTGATAAATAGCTCCCAGAGGGGCATATGAAAAAAAGTCTACTGAACCAAAACTTTGTGATTGTGGACCCCCTGTTAAAGACCACCGTCCTAGTATATTCTTCAATTTCCTGCATACGTATGCTGTTGTGATGCCACTGGCTCCCAGGTTACCAAACAGGCAGAGGACACAGTGGATTCAGCTCCACTCAATAGTTTTTAATGGACCATGCTGCTGTGATCAGCCAATGACAGGAACGGCGGGGAAACACTACAGAGAGAGCGCCAGTGGCAGCATGAACACAGCCAGCCAATGTGCAGCAGGGAAGGGCAAAGGAAGGGGAGGAGGAGGGCAAGGCAAGGCAAGGCGAACAGCAGAGGTAGGGGATGGGGGCGGAGTCTCTCCCTCAGAGCGCCTGCCTTCATGTGTTTTCCTCGCTCAGCCCTCCCCTATCCATCCCCCCCCCACCCCCACCGCCGCTGCCCCTCTCTCCTGCTCCTCCTCCGCCCCTGAGTGTGGAGCAGCAGCAGCGGTGGAAGCCTCACTGCCTCTCCTCGCCTCAGCAGTGCGGGAACCACAGCAGCAGGGAGAGCAGAATGGATACGGAAGGGAGCCAGAGCAGCCTGTCGTCCGGCACGGATAACTCCCCCCACGACCCCTGGTAAACGAGCCGCTCCGAAGCCCCTTCGCTTTCTTTTCTTCTTTTATTTTGGAGCCGTTTTTTATTTTTTGAGTTCACCTTGGACTTTAGTGGAGTTCCGCGCCGAGACAAAAGACGAGCACGCTGCTTGAGCGCGTGCGCGCGCGTCTCTCTCTGAATGGATCCGCGCACCGGAGGAGACGCAGACGCACCGCTTCTTTCCGCCTGCCTCCCTCTCCTTCCTCCTCATCCTCCTTGTTTGTTTATTTACCGTTCCTCCAAATAGCCTCCCCGCAACTTCTCCATCATCACCTTTTTTATTTTATTTTATTATTATTATTATCTCTCCCTCCTCCTCTAGGGATTATAACGGCCCGGCTGGCCGATGGGTGACTTCGCAACATGGCCGATGCTTTCTTCTTTACTTTACTGATTTCACAGAAAGAAAAAAGACAAAGAAACCCAAAAAATCCTCCAGATTTCCACCCTAAATGTGCTCTGTTGTGTTTTGACTCCTTCTTGTGTTTTTCTCTCATTCAGCAAAATGTTCATCGGGGGTCTGAGTTGGCAGACAACACAAGGTGAGCTGTCCCGCACTCTACTTTACCACCGTCTGGATGAATCCTCCATCTCTATGAGCGCACAGCAGCTTCCCTCAAGTTAAACACTATGATGAAATAAAAAAAGGAGGCTGCAGCTCGCTGAGGATCAGCTCTTAGGATTTAAGACTTGCAGAGACGCAGGAGATTAACCGTGGAAATCGCGCACACATTCAACCAGACTTGTCTGCTCCCCCCTCCTCCTTTTTTCTCTTCCCGCATGTGCGCTCTTTTACGCATGTAATAACAGAGAAGAGGGGCTCTATTCAGATAAATACACGCATAAATAAAGTTATTGATTATTTAGAGTCAAAGCTGAAGTTGTGCGCCTCCTACTTTCCACCCCCCCTCTAAACGTTGCATTTATTCTAGGAAACAAACATGCATGCACTTTATTCTAGTTAGCCGTGTTATTATCCCACAGATGCTGCTACTCTAAACCTGCAATCTTGCATTTTTGCTTTTTTTGTGGCCCTCGTTGTAATCTGGGAGGTCTGGAGGGACACAAACACAACGTGGTCCACCCCATTGTTTCTCTCCGGCCACCCCAGCAACACATGTGTGTGTGTGTGGAGTTTATTGAACAGTTTTCTTGTCCTGTCTTCTGCAGAGGGCTTGAGGGAATACTTCTGCAAATTTGGCGAGGTGAAGGAGTGCATGGTGATGCGGGATCCCGTTACCAAGCGGTCGAGGTAAGAGAGGAAAGGAGGCGTGTGCGCCCCGCCGTCCTATCACTGGATGCCTCATGGTCTGCTTTCCACGCATAGTCTCCAGGGGCGCCCCTAGAAACTTTCAAACGGGGTTAATCAGATGGTGACCATGCCTTCATATGAAAACAATAACAGAATTAGGTATATCTGTTTGAAAGAATTTAATAGCAGATGTAAAATCCGCCTGTTGCTGCACACTACAGGTCAGCTGGCTTCAAGAAGGAAGTGATTTTGCTTGTTTTTTTTAAGACAAATTGGCTTATTTGGAAATATTTCTTTAAGAAGGCACAACATTGGATTTTAAAGTTAAAGTAGGTGCACTTGGTATGCGACTAGCAGCTTGTGCTCTTGTGTTTTTTCCATATACAATTAATTTAAAATGTGCAATAAAAATTGTTTAAATACGCCTTTCTTATGTAGAAAGATGAATCTCTTTAGATTAATCAATTAGTTAGATAATAATCGGTAGATTAATCAATTACTAAAATAATCATTCGATTAAATTATTGCTAATAGCAATCCTAGCTAAAATATTGATTAATTATGACATAATCTAATGTTTCTCCAGAATGTATTAAAAACATAAGATGGAACATGGTTTGGGACGCTGCCTGGAGGCCACCTGTAACAGTGAAGTTTGCTTTTAGCTTTAATTCCGACAATGATCTGCTATTCTCTTCATATGTTTGTGATTCAAACTGAAAATAACATTTTAAGGTACTAGATAATCAAAAGGAAAACTGTGCCCTCTGTGGAGTATGGTGGAGGCAGTATCATGTTCTGGGGTTACTTTTCTTCAGATGGAGCAGACATTTTTGTCAGTGTGGCTAAAGACACAGATATCACCCAGTTTTCTCTCAAAAACATTCATCTGAAGGTCGACCTTCAATGGCTTACTGTATGTATTCTACTAGCAGCAGGTAATACTTGGGGTACCATTTAAAGAGCTGAAAGGATTAAGCATTATATTCTACTAGCTCTTAAAATTCAGAGATGTGCCAATTCTCTTAAGGTCTTGGTTTGTGGTACAAGAATCTTTAAATACATAAAAACCATGATGACATTTCTTGCATTTCTTTTTCACAAGAGCAACCTGTATCAACCTAAATATACTTAAATGTAACTTAATAAAGTGCGTTAAAACAACCAGAGCTGAAACAAAGTACCGAACATAACTGTAGCTGCAAACTAGAAAGCATACTTTAAAAGAACAAGAGAGGATTTTAACAAGGCAATAAAAGCAATTTAAAAAAAAGAGGTCCAACTTAAGTCTTGCTAATGTTGAAAGCTGAGGGAAAAAAATGTTTTTAAGCTTTAATGGTGGGGGGGTGATTCATAAACATGAGCAGCAGCTGAAAACACTCTGCACTCCCCCCCCCCCCCCCCCCCCCCCCCCGAATGAGATTTCTACAGTCACAAAATCAGGACTCAAGAAAAACATCATTCTCTGCAGAATTTATCACCATATTTTGAGGTGTCTGTTCTAGATTTTATGTATCTAAATAATAATTTTAGAAGGAGTGGGATTTATTGTTTCTGCAAGTTAAGGAGTTACTCCTCTGTTTTGAGTTTGTAAAAAGTTGTGCATATAGACCCCCCTCTTAGGATCTTAGGAGAAACCACTGAGCCTCTCCAGCAGAGATGGCTTAATGTGTGATTTTATTTCATTTCTTTCCTCATGCAGGGGCTTTGGCTTCGTTACATACGCGGATCAGGCCGGCGTGGAAAAGGTTTTGGCGCAAAACAGACATGAATTGGATTCTAAAACGGTAAGTTTTTTTTTTTTTTTTTTTTTTAGTGCTTAATGGTTGGATAACTTTTTTCTACCAGCATGTTTTTTTTTTTTTTTTTATTCTTCTTCCTGCCTCTTTGTGCACTTTGCCTTCCACTGTATAGCTTGTAAAGTTCAGGAGTGTGTTTTTTGGAGCAGCCACCCTCCTCCTCCTTCTGCTTCTCCTGTCTGCTCATTTCCCCCCTCCAAATCCCGGTTCAGGGCGCCAACATGAAAGCGTTCTTTCTTGGTCTTCATTGCCATGGTTACCTGGGGGACCTGAATGGGGTAGCAGGAGCCCCTGCTAACACCCCTCACAGGTTTTATGCATGGCACAGAGCTCCCAGGAGTTGTTTCAGCTGAGTTTAAGAAGAGAAGGTTGTTAGTGTCGGATTGAAAACCAGTTCTCGTTCAGCCTGTGAGTCTTCATTTAAATATTGAAGTAACGATTGAGATACGAGGCTGCTCTGATTGGAAAGTTTATATTTAAAAAAAAAAAAATCCCATCCTTCACTCCTGCAACATTAGAATTCAAATGTAGGTAAATGGGACAGACGCTTTGCCAGAAAGAGGTCATGCTTGTGTTTGGTTTTATTAATATATATAAGGCAAAAAAAGGCAAGAGAGGACGTGTGAATCCCAGCGGCTTGTTTCTGGTGTGACTCCAAGCTGCTGACTGAGATTTGAATACCCATGAAGGTGTGAATGTGGCTGTCTTGGTCATGTAGATTGGGTGTGGGACTGGGGACAGGGTGTGTCTTCGTCAGCTTGAACTCACACATACACACACACCAGCGGCTTCACAATAGGATCATTTGAGAGGGAAAAATGGTGGCACAGAATGGCAGCGGAGCCCAGGGGTGGAGAAAAGGTAGACCTGGGTGCAGTTGTTGGAGCAAGTCTGTTGCTGGGGGTGACGCCAGCCTCTGGAGACGGTGCTGTAACAGCATAACCCAATGGGATTCATGTCTCCATAACAACTTCTCAGCTATTTTGCATTAACTTAAGGCGCTGGACTCAGTCGGGCGGCAAAGCTCTGACACACAGAGATAATGTCAAGTCATGCCAGACTTTCACTTTTTATACGTCTCATTATTTCTGAGCTGCAACTTACAAATATTTGATTTTTTTTTTTTGTCTTTACAGCCGTTATTAGATTTATTACAACATGCCTGTTGCTGTGTTCGCTTCAAATAGGCCCTGAGCAACTGCAAAGTTACTCAGTGAGTCATATTACCTCTTAAAATGAGGTGCTGCTCAAGCTCCTGAAAGTCAGAACCCTGTGTGTGATTTTGGAAGCTCAGCTTGGCAGGTCGCTGGTGGGGATTAGATGTTGCTCTGTTATAAACCAAAATACTTTGCAGGGATGTAACGATATGAAAAGTTAAAAACTGGAGATTCTGCAGCACAGCTGAGATCCAAATCTTATGATTTCATCTTTGATGGGCTCTTATAAGGAGGTAGAATACTGAAAAGGTGGGATTTTTTTCCACCAATCTATTTAAATCTCACAATGTTTTTATTTTTAAACACATCAACCAACAGGATGTGATTTCCAACAGAAAAAAACAGGAATATAAATAAGAAAAAAATGGTGTGATGAATTTAGTTTCACCCATTTTTGTCCTTATATGTTAACATATGTTAAAAGTTTAAAAGCCTTATTTAGATCAAATGCGTGGATTGTGGGCCCTCTGTGGCCCTTGGAATGATGTTGGGCGTCCAATAACCATAGTAAAGACAATGGCGGTTAATGCAGATGAACTTTAAGCTGTTTATAGATAAAATTAAACATATTTCTAAAATGGTAAATTCTACATTTTCTCTTAATTTACCACTTGTTTACATTCATTTTCATTATAAAGTCCAGAGGAGGTTTAAGAAATATTTAACAACATCCTTTTATGCCCATCTATTAGTGGCTGAAATGCTAAAACTCACACAAGAGGAAATATAATTGAAAAACTGATTGAGTTTAAGGTGATGGTAAATATCAATGTAATATTCAACAACAAAACAACATTTACAGATGTCACTGATACCATGCATCATAAATGATGCGTATATTGTACCAAATTACCAAAGTATCTGTTTAAAATGTATGAAAATTAATAATAGAATTTAAGTGCTTATTTTTAATGTGTTTTTTAAATAAAATAATTTCAAAATAAATTCAGCTTGAACTGAAAGGAACCAAAATTAAAATAGGAAAGTGTTGAATAGGGAACAGATAGGAATCCTGAATGCAATCCAAGAATTAGTAACAAATGTTTGTAAAAGTGTTTTTTTTTTAACTTATCAGTAATAAAAAAAAGAGGGTTACAGAGAAAAAATCAAAGGAAAGCAAGTCAAACTACAGTTGCGTGTAAAGCAGCAGACTGCAGGCTAGCAACCTGGAAAAACAGTCCTGCCAGAGAAAACAGCTGTAACTATAAAGAGCAGGAAAAGAGCAAATAATAACCTGTATTCATGTGTTTACTCTCTATCTGTAAAAACAACAACATGAGGATGTATAAATATTGAGATGTGAGAACTTTCATAAATGATTATTATTATTGGTTTGAATAAAGCCAGGTGGGCTATGTTATCAGAATCAGAAATACTTTAATTATCCCAGAGGGAAATTACTTTTGTTACATACTCCAGATACAGAGTTTATATATATATATATATATATATATATATATATATATATATATATATATATATATATATATATATATATATATATATATATACAACAAACCACACAAGATAATACACATATAACTCTTCTGTATATATATGTATATGTATATACACGAATATGTATAGCTAAATCCAAATAAAGTGATAGTGATGTGCAAAAACAGTGCAAGGAATGAATAAATGTCAATTGCAGAGGGGGGGTGTCTGAATCACTTGAGGAATTTATTGGCATTTATAAACATTTTTCTGAGGAGACTTTTTACTGAATTTTACTCCAGCAACTAACAGAAGCACAGTGAAGTTTATCACTAGTGAACAATAGAGTGCACGTCTAAAATTGTCCCCAACTAAACATTTGTTTGCATAAAGATGTCCAGTGCACCATACCATCTCAGGTTGCTTCTGGTCTGTTTTTTTTTTCCTTTTTTTTTCTAGTTAGGGTTGAGAATGTTGATATTTGTCTGTTCAGACTGTATTTGTAAAATCCATCTGCAGGGGTTTATATGTTCTCTCAGTCACGGCTTCCAGTAAGCCCATATAAAAAATTATCGATCTGTATCGATGGACATAAAGTTCAAGTGTAGCTTAAATCCCTGTGCTACTTTTTCTGCAACACTCCTGGCCCTGTAGTTATACGTCAGATTGGAGACAGACGTGACTCAAGGGAATGAGGAAGAATATTCGACGCTCAGGTGTTTTTGCCCCTCGGGTTGGCTGGCAAATACCACAAAGGGGCAAAGGCAGAACCAAGGGACGCTGTTTAACAGAGCAGCAGAACACACAGAGTGGGAGGGAAACTACATTAGATAGAGCAAGGTCCATGCCACTGGTTAAAAACATTATTAAACATTCACAATACTGTTACGTCCTGCTTTGCTTTTAATCATTCCTTAAAACGCTGAAAAGTCACAGGTGAAATTACAGCAGATCGTTTTGAATCCACACAAGGTTGCTGATTGTTTTTCAGGGAGAGAGAGAGAGAGGTCTATTGAGGCTGCTGTTTTTGGTTGGAGGTTAGATTTCCTGTCGGGGGCAAAGTATTGCCTCGGGCCTGTGGTGTGCAGTTGTGTTCTTTTGGATGCGGAGGGGGCATCGCTGGTATGGTGTTTTGTTTTTCTCCACGAGATGCTTCATTGAAACTAGTTATAGGATTAGGAGGAGAAGGGAGCAGATGTTCCCAGAAAAACAAGCATCTCTGGTTCCAGTTACCCATAAACCCAGTGGTTCTTTTTCTTTTTTCTTTATTTATAAGTGATTGATTGACGAGGCTTTTTGCAACCTCATGTGTGATGGCTTCATGCTGTTATTCCATTTGAGAGCATTGTCCTAATATATAATTTTATGAATAGAGGTGCACCAATCAGTTCTTGTGATTGGCAGGTTTAAGGATGAAAAGCCTCAATTTACTATTTCCTCTCATTAAAGATATCAAAACAACAATAAGAAACAAAATCCCTTAGTTGAAGCAAAATCTGGCAGGTCATACATCAAAGAGGAACAGGAAAACCCAATCTAAATACTGAAATAAACGAACAGTTTTAAAATCAAGTAACCCTAGAATAAACATTTATATTTTTTTATGAATCCCATTTAGAGAAATCATAGTTTCAGATTTTTATCTAAAATGTTCTGAAAGAGCGTTTAAGCCCTTTTGTTCAGGTTACTGTTCCAACACCTGGTTACCAGAGCTTAGATGTTAGCAGTGGCCCTTCCACTGGAAGATTAGCTGGTAATGCTGACATGGACAAAACTGGAGCTGGGGGGTTGGAAGAGATAGGAAAGGAGGAGGGGGGGAGGCTCAGCTCCTGTGCTGTAATTAGTATGGATCTGAAAAACAACTAATCGGATTGAAGGAAGCAAACTGGATTGGCCTTTTAAGGTTCATACTCGGATTTAGATCAGACTTGCTCTTAAGGTGGGCTCAGACTTCTGCCCACATGCAGCCCCACCGCACCCAGCCTGGTTAGCAGGGTTAGGGGGTTAGGGATAGGCTCGGGTCGCCGGGGCTCATTAGTGTGCTTCGTTAACTAATTACCGCTCCATTGTTCATCTGTGCAGGTTGACCCTGCTGGCCCCGACCCAAACCAAGTGTCCTTCTCTCACTCATTGACATGCCAAGTCCTCTTTGTCTCCTCTTGTGTTTATAGCTTTTTGCTTAGCCTATATTGATTGTGCCGCCATAATTTGGTGTCCCGTCGTGCCTTTTTCATCATTGTGGCTGTTTGCCATTTAGTTGGCAAGTTGGCCGGTGTGTTTGGAAGAGGGACATCATCATTAGCTGCTTAAGTCTGTGTTCCTGTTTGTTTGATT